AATATTTTTAGTAGTTTTTTGTAGCTGTTGTTTAATTATTTTAGTTATCTGTATTTTAAGATAATCCTTTTATTATTTTTACTCCCGTTATAAATTTTTAAATGTTATTGTTATATCTTTTTTTACATTATATTTTACATTGCAATAGTAAAAATGACAACCCATTTTTTTTTTCAAAGGGGGAGAGTAATGTAGCGTCTAGCGAGTCAATGAACTTAGGCATTATGACCCACTTTACGTTAGTATGTAAATATGTACTTGCGTTATAATAAATTAGTATGAAATTAATATTTGTTATGATTGTTTGTTTCCCTACTCATACTCAACTCACCATACACACGATAAACTTTACATAGGTATGTTTAACATAAAACCGTTTAACTTAAAAAGTTTTTTTACCTATTTTTATTTTAGTGATTTGATTTGATGCCTCTATGGTTTATCTACAGATGCCAACTTAGTGTACTTTCTAATATACCTGGTGGTTTCCGAATTCCCTTTAGTGGCGAAATATTGCTTTTAATTGATGATTGCTTTTCTAGTGATAAACCACTAGAACAGGTAACCAGTAGAATTCAGTTTCAATAACTGAATATGCGACTACTTAACTGCTTACTCAGTCACTTACATGTTTCAATATCTATTATTTTAGTTTTCTTGCTACGAAATACCTACTAAGTTACTTTTACTGTTACTAATATTGAGGAATTCGATGATTTCTGTGGTGGAGTGGTATGTAGTATGTATTACCGATTTTCAAGGCGTTGCCCGCTCGGAAGTCCCGGATTTGGCTCCTGGTGTGTCAAATTATTCTAAAATTAATTTGAACATTGGTTTGTAACCTAAGGTTTAGCTGTATATATGTTATGGGCTAAGTGAATAATGGGGCATTATTCATAATGCCCAATAAGAGCGGGCAATATGATTATAACCAATCAATTTATTACATGCCCGGGTATTAAGAATAATGCCCAGTGCCTATTGAGGAGAGTGATGTAAAGCATGTTTAATACTTTCAAATGAATACTTAGATAGACCGAGCATTGCAAGTAATGAAATAAATTATCGGGTAGAGTAATAATAAAAACATGTTTTATAGATATGTATTTATTTTTAATATTTAAATAATCAGACTTCAGTTTTACTTCGATCAATTTACTAGAGCTACATTTAAAAACTATAGTCTATAGTAGTTTCAATGCAGTTTGTTTGAAAAGTTCCCTATATTTTAGGATGCAAGGACTAGGGAAGTAACAACCAGTACTTCTGCCTTATCTCCGGCGCTGCGGGAATAGCAGCCTCTCCGCCTTTGCGTGACAAAGTCACAAGCATCACTCCCCTTCACACCTTCGGCTTGTTGGCAGCCTCAGGCACTGCGGGTCGCACGATGCTTGCGGCTTTGTCACAGCAGGCGGGGGCTGCTCTCCCTCCGCGCCTCCGGGCTCTAAAAAACTCTAGAGGTAGGGCAGACCAAGACCACGGCGTGTATCCCTACCAAGTGACCAAGTCGGTTCTGAATTAAAGACTGTTGTAAAGCCACATTTACCTTTTTTTTTCTAAGTATTGAGCCCATACTATTTTTTATTTACCAAGATCTCAAAACAAACACAAAATGGCGAGACGTCTGTCATTTTGATAGTACAAACGTTTTGAATTTATCATACTGCCCGGTCCAAACGATAAATTCAAGCTATCTCAAACACTGACTTTTTACAAGGACCACGGACCGTCGGGTATTATTAATAATGGCCGGGCAATGTGATAAATAGGTGAGTTTAGATTGTAATTAATCATGGCTGGGCATTATTCATACTACCCTGGCATTACGAATACTGCCCGCATTAATCACTTGGCCCATAACATATATATATTAAAATATTACTAGAAATATATATCTATGTATCACTTTACTTAGACCTGTCTATTGCAATGCTTACTTAGGTGTAGGCTAATTGGTTTGATCAATAGAAGTATTTGTTATTATTTATTTATTACTTATTACAAACAGGATAGATAATAGTAAATTGTGACAAATAAACTCAAGAACTATTATTTTATCACATATAACAAACACCCTTGCAAAGATGGGGGGTGTCTATGTAAAATGTAATGATTTTTGAGAGTTGAGACGAATACTTAGAAGTCAAGTTTCGGGAGCTCAATACTTTATTTAATAAAAAAACTACATTCTTAAGACAAAGGTTGCCAATTTGGAGGCCTAAAACTAACTTATTTAAAAAAATAGGCTATATGACAAATTTTAGAAAACGATCTCACGTTATTGACTAATGTTTATGGGGTCCGTAAAAAGGATGTTCATCTTTCTGTTGTGTATTTCAGTAAAAATAACCAAATCAAAAACTTCATTTTCAAGTTGCCGCGAAAACGTTTCTCTAGACAATATGGCGTCTCACTGGTGTGTGACGTCACACGACTGTTATTTAAACGTCAAACGATACAATGTAATGTCACTTTAACCGGAAGTTTACTTGAGTGTGACGTCATTTTAGGCTCCGCCAATCCCAAGCGGTTTGAGTCACGTGACAATAGATAAGAAAACTATTATCTTTTTCGTGGGTTTTTAGTAAAATTATGAATATTTTTTATGTAAAAATAGTGAAAATCCCTGCCAATATTCATTCTAAACACAGATAGATACCTACTAACAATTGGCACTTTATTTTTAATACTGTCAAATACCCTATTAACGTGTTGCCGATTTTGCGGCTACTACACGAATGAATATTTATCATAAAGATTTCTCCATCCTCTGAATCCAGCGCGGATTGGTGGGTGATAACGCTTCTGCATCTACTGTTTTTTGTTGTAACTCTTTCCATACATCTATTGCTTTTTTCTATAACGCCTCTCGATTTTTAAATTCGGACCTGACATTTTTTTTTATATAGTTTACTCATGACCATGGATACAAGTCCTTCAGTCGCTTGGTCATCATGGTCTAAGTTCAGTCGTATACATAAATACAAATCTTAATCTTCTTTTTTTTACATTACAATGTCTGTGTGACGCATTCTATTGTTTCTCGGAGTGTTTGGCACGAAAGGTATCGAGTTGGTTTTTTCGATAAGCTTCTGTGAGGTAGTCAACACTACAATAAAGTTCTCACGTCGACTTGACCGGAATAGAGTATATTTTAAAGATTCCACTAATTCTTCAGTTTGCAGATGGTTGTAACACAAAATCACACCAATTTTGTTCCACAATATCCACTATGAACGAATTTAAGAATATTTAAAATAAGACGCCAACCACACTGGATGAAATCCCGCCAAAAACTCCCGGGCCTGACAACACTGCCCAGTGTTGCCAACTCGACGTCTTTTTATGTATTTTAGGCCTTTTCTGCAAACCTGCTAACTTCAGTCCCAGGGTCTATACGTATTTTCTTTTAGTTTTTACAAATTTGCAAAATAACAACTAACTAGAATAAAGAAGCATATTTTCCGTGACTTTACTTAAAAACTATACAAATGTTTATTTCTTATAATTTTTGGTATAAGGAACCTAAATACATCGATTTCACTTCATAAAATTAAAAGATGGCTGTACCTAGTAATTTAATTTGAAAATAGTTTTTTAGTCTATACTTTTTATTTAACTCTGAAAGCACTGTCTACCATGATTGTGACGTCACAAAATTTGTAAACAACTAAACGTCATTGTCGTGTTACTGTGGTTTCTTTCATCCGACTTATATATATCTATAAACTCTTATATCTTGTAGAATAATGCTGGACGCCGGATTTGTGAAAGCAGAAACGACAAAACCCTTTGACTTAGTAGGTACATTTTTAATCTGAAAACTTGTATTTTTAAACTTAAAATATTATTGAATGAGTACTTTCATCAAAGTGATCTTTGCAAAAAGAAATGACTTTCAGTCGATAAAGTTACAGGATTTAGCAAGTTTTGAACATGTGTTCGTGTGTAGGTATGTTTATTTCTCTAGGCAATTCAAACCACAACTTCTATGGACTCTTTAACGATGTGTTTCTTCATGCTCGTATACGTCATGATAATTACTATATTTTTCATGCAATCTATTAGAAATCATGGTTTTATAATATAAACTCAAATAGTTTATTTCCTACTTGCTTGCTAGTCTGTTAACAAATGTTTTGACGTCATAGCATAGATAAATCTATAGACCAAAATGGTCAACAGCGTTTTTGTATGTCCATGAAAAATCTATTTTAAAATTAAACTTTTCAGCGTTCTAGGTCAAAAAAAAATACATTTCTTTTTCTGTCTAATAGAACAATTATTAACAATTTAAAACATATTATCTAAATGTATCAACAAGCCTATTTGACAACAGTATATCCTTGTCATTATCCATACAGAATGAAAAGGAGAGTTTGATGTTAAATTTAGTTTTAAGTTTAGTGACTTATGCCAAAATCGACATCTACTAGTGTATGTGTCTGATGGTATCGTCTACCACAGCATGGTAAATGCTGCCAATGTAGCGTCTTCTACAAGAACTCTATGTTCTATCTCCCTTTTTTAAATAAATTGTATAACAAAATACTCGTTTTATTCGGTTTCACCTATCCTAATTTCTTCATTTCACTCGGGAAAAAATACGTAGATTTACGAACTTTTCAAGCAAATTTTACTAATTCTAAGTAATCTTCTCATCCTACACCTTTTACAAAATCTAAGTTGGCAATACTGACACTTTTTGTCATGTATCTTCTAAAGTAGTCTGTGTCTCTGCGGAGTTTTTGGCGGGATTTCATAGAGTGTGGTTGGCGTCATATTTTAAATATTCTTTAAATTAGTTCATAGTGGATATTGTGAAATAAAATTGGTGTGTTTTTGTGTTACAGTCGTCTGCGCAACTGAAGAATTAACGGAATCTTTAAAATTCGCTATATCGGTCAAGTGGATGTGAGAACTTTATTGTAGTTACTTTATCTTACAGAAGCTTATCGAGAAAGTTGACTCAATACATTTCGTGCCAATCACTCCAACAAAAAAATTAGAATGCGTCACACCCACATTCTAATGTAAAAAAGGAAAATTAATACAAAAATAAGACGATGGCTGCATGGCTTTGCCTTTGCCTTTACAAATAGAGAAGAATGGAACAAAAAAAAAGTAGTCTGTGCTGTGCCATAGAGTACATTGTTTGTGCGCTGTGGCTGTGTCTGCGTCAGTCTGCGTCGAAAAGATATACACAACTTGTATTTCTCTATTTAAATTTAGCCTTAAAAATTCACCTTTTACAATCATTGTGATTTACATTATTCGACCACAATATGTGACTTACGGCTTTATCGCTAACAACATGGCATACCTTTTGGATCGGTTGATACGTTTGCTGGCATTGATAATACTGCTTGTATTTTTCTGTGAAGCCTATAGTATCAAATGTAGTAATAGCAGACAAAACTCCACATTAATGAAACCATCAAAAGACGGTGTGGAAGGTCGTTATACAGTGGAATGGTGTACCAAAAGAACAAAGAATGACACAGTATGGGATCTCCAGATTTTTTTCAATCGCAAGAACCCTAGTAAGTGCTCCTACAGGGACAAGCATTCGGCAAAGATTGAAGATTTAGACAGCAAAGACGTCAATTGTAGCTTTGTGAGTACACTTTCTTAATTTGAACTCTATCAACCAACCTCTCAAAAGTTGTATAATTTTAGTCAACAAACATGGCACTACATATTCTAAGAGTCAACAGCAATACTGAACGGGGTGCTAATTGCCTAGTTTCGCTACAATCCCTTGAAAGCTTAAAAGTATAAGTTTTAATGAGACCTCAGCCAATTTCTCTCCCTACTATGAAATCACTTATGGAATATAAGTTACGTACACAATAAATGCTACTCTGACATTCGATAAATTGTAAAGAATTTTTGTTTCTACAGGTTTGTTTATCTACAGAAATAGATTTAATATTTAATGCCTGTTACCGACTTGAACAGTTGTTTAGAACACAGGGCTCTGCAAAATCGATCACTAACTATAACATATCTAATGAATATTCAATCGAAACATTTACAAGGTCTGTGTTTACAGCCAATGAAATCAATCATGGGTGAGTACTTGACAAGTATTATTTAATTCTAAACAAAAGTTTACTAGAAAAAATTCCATGCGGACCAGGCAGCAGGATTTTTTTCTAGTAAACTTTTCTTTAGATTTAAACACTTAGCAGTTAAATGCTTAAAAAAAACAAGTATCATTTATTTCTATATTTTGTACACACAAATGTATACACAGTGGTCACTTAATGATATATGTGCAAGCCCACAGCTCATTTCAATCTGGAATTTCTCCTGCCATCATACTATATAGTAAGAAAGCATTTTGAAAAACCAGTCAGTATTGTGTATTTTGATGGCATGCTTGGTTTATCTGCTAGTGATCATCTCCATATAAATATACAAATATTTTGATATGCAGTGGCATTTTTATAATATGCAATGGTCAATCTAATTTTAGTACTTATTAGTTTAAAAGAAAAAAGCTTTACAGTGCAGAGGTTAGCTTGTCTATTCTATCATTCTGAAAGTTTCCCAAAGGCCAGTGGTCAAAATTTAAAATGTATCTTGAACTCTATTGTGCTTTTTGTGGGCTTAAAGATGTCCAGAGGCCCAAACACAAATTTTGACACCTCTGTACAGCATCATCACAGTTTTTATAAAAATTAAGCAGTGAACTAGATATAAGAACGAACCGGCTCCTTCTTTACAAAATTTTAAGATGACAATACAATTACAAAGCTGTAAAAATTCATGCTTGGGCCTCAGAACATTTGGTAGGAAAAAGAATAAGGCCAAATAGAGCTTTTTAACTTGAATAAAGGTGACCAAAAATTTCTATCTCGAGTTCCTCCGTGCTTCGGAAGGCACATTAAGCCGTTGGTCCCGGCAGCATCTGCAGTCGTTAGCACCCGCCAATCCGCACTGGGCCTGTGTGGTGTGTCATAGCCCAATCTCCCTATTCCATCCATAGGAAAATCCTGTACCCCAGCAGTGGGGACATTAAGAGGCTGATGATGAAAGTTTATTTTCTTTTAACAAGGCATGTAAAGTTGTTGTTGGTTTTGGTTGCGTCTGTTGTCAAAACCCACCAGTGATTGTCACCACACACCAATAGGTTGTTAGCATTAAAAATAGGCACTGGGCCCATATGGTGTGTTATTTCCTATTCTCACCATGCACTATCTACTGCAGTGCGAACATTAATGAACTGACAAAATTTGGGTGAAGATGAATTATAGTAATATAACAATGGCCATTATTTAATGAAACAAAATATTATAAATCTTAAGAAAAAAAATGTGTGCGTGTACTAGTGTACACACGTAAGAAGTGAAACTTCTTTATGACCTTATTTTTTTCGAAAAATGATCTACATGCAACCTTACCTTACCTTACCTTACCTTGCCTTACCTTACCTTGCCTTACCTTACCTTAACTTACCTTACCTTACCTTACCTTACCTTACCTTACCTTACCTTACCTTACCTTACCTTGTGTGAAACACGAATATTTGCTGTCAATACTTTTTTTTTTTAAAGTTGACAGAAGAAGCAATTGTTCGGATGAGGTAAATAGTGCTCTTTTAAAAAAAAGATGGCGCGTAACCAAAAAACGTGACGCGTACCGAATAAAAATGTGACGGTAATTTTTTTTCCAACGCCGATAAAGAAGTTTCACTTCAAAAATAATCTATTAAATAGTGCCCACTGTGCATTTAGTATATTTAAGAGAATTTGACAGTGTTTTGTCCTAGTTATTAAAACAAAAACTTGCATGACTGAAAACTGAAAGCAAGCCATGCGGTGGCTCAAGATTATTTTTTTGGTAATACGGAATAATAATAATAATGTCTAACTGGTAAAATTGTCTAGTATAAGCACTGAAATCATTATAATATTTGCAGTGACTACATATCAGTAAATTTCTTCTTTGGCATGGTACCTGTCACATCTTATGAAGTGACACTATGCAAATTGAATGATGAGTCTTATGATCGGGTGAGTTATCTGTACATATTTATTTCCTACATACACATTCTGTGTATCTATTCAATATAGTATAAATAATTATTGTTTTATCACAAAAATATCAAGCATATATTTAGACATGTTTTGAGTAGTGGGTACATTTTTTCTGACACAAAACCAGTTTCATTTGCATTCTTATAACATGTTAATACAGTAAGCACATATTAAGCCAAACAACTGCTATATTTAGGGCGCCGACAGACAGTGCCCACAACCAAACCAATTGTTTACACACAAAAAGAATGCATACATTATTCATAAAGTTTTTACATATCCAAATATCGCAGCTCAATGTCAAAGACTGTGACTTCCAAGTTTGTTTTTTAAAGATATCTCCGTCCAAAGACCTGAGTCAAATAAAAATAAATGTGTGCTTTTACGAAACCATGATGCAAGTGAAATTTTTAAAATCATTAATAAAAAAGTCCTTCATTGGTTGGGATTCGAACCTGGGCCGCCTGGGTAGCAGGAGAGCTTTATATCACTGATCCACTGATTCTTATTGATAAAGTCTAAATTTTTTTATAACAATAAAAAGAAATATGCGACTTGCTACAGCTGAACCATAAAAAAATTTAGCAATGTCCTACTAAAATGTTTGAAAACATTAAATAAAAGATATGCTTAATGTATGGATCCCCTATATATATTCCCATTTAAATAAAGCATGATCTCTGACTTACCATTATTATTAGAAGAACGGCTATTCTAGTTAATGATTACCTATACCTGCTGCTATTTACCATTATTATTAGAAGAACGGCTATTCTAGTTAATGATTACCTATACTTGCTGCTATTTACCATTATTATTAGAAGAACGGCTATTCTAGTTAATGATTACCTATACCTGCTGCTATTTACCATTATTATTAGAAGAACGGCTATTCTAGTTAATGATTACCTATACTTGCTGCTATTTACCATTATTATTAGAAGAACGGCTATTCTAGTTAATGATTACCTATACCTGCTGCTATTTACCATTATTATTAGAAGAACGGCTATTCTAGTTAATGATTACCTATACTTGCTGCTATTTACCATTATTATTAGAAGAACGGCTATTCTAGTTAATGATTACCTATACTTGCTGCTATTTACCATTATTATTAGAAGAACGCTATTCTAGTTAATGATTACCTATACCTGCTGCTATTTACCATTATTATTAGAAGAATGGCTATTCTAGTTAATGATTACCTATACTTGCTGCTATTTACCATTATTATTAGAAGAACGGCTATTCTAGTTAATGATTACCTATACTTGCCGCTATTGTTTTTAATAACACGATTCGTTAGGTGCGAATAAATTCCTTTCGAAACTGCGTGAGAATATCCGCAAACGTAAGAGTCTATGCACACCACGTTTTTAAAACGCACCGTCGGCGTCGCGTCGACGCGCGTTTGTAGTGAATACAGACGCGATACGCACGCGAGTCAGATGCAGACCTTTGTAGACTTATAGGGCCCTGCCTGCACACACTACGTATTTTAAATGCGCCGTCGACCCGTGTTTGTAGCGACACAGACGCGTGTGTTGTAGCGATACAAACTATAGCAAACTACTCTGCAGAATAAAAGCGTGCCGTTGACCAGTGGCGGCGCTAGGCGTCGGCGACGTCGGCCACCGCCGAAGGCCTCGCGCCTGAGTGGGCCTCGCAAAAAATTTTTACAAGTTACCTATTTATTTTCGTTTCTCCTGGCCTGGATTAGGTAGCCGACCCCGAACAATTCGGGGAAAAAGCGAAGCAGATGATAATGACTTTTATTATTTTCGAACACGTGCGTGATGGAAGCTAGTAGTACTTTACGGGTATTCAGAATCGTCTGTCTGGCAAAAATATTTTTGTAATTAAATTTCTATGTTTGTTATTATTTTTTGTCATCATTTGATTATCAACAATAAAACTCGTTTACTCATACGTTATTTTATAATTTGGCTCACTTAATTTAACGGTTTTTTATTGCGAAGTAAAATAGGCCTCGCGAACTTAATGTCGCCGACGTCCACATGTGGTCTAGCCCCGCCACTGCCGTTGACGACGCCTTTAAAAAACGTGGTGTGCATAGGCTCTTACGCCGCTGTGTACATGACAGAAAGGACCTTTTGTTTTGGTACTGAGCCTTCCCTCTGCTCGGGCGAGGAGCGATTGTATACTTCGTGCAATCCAAATTTTATGACGGTTGTGAAGTTAGCAGCGAGCTCGACTACGGTTTCACTTCAGTGTCGTTCCGTGCGCGCCTACATCACTACAGTCCGTTCATCTTAACTTGTCCCATCTGGTGAAGAATCTTGGCACTATTTACAACTTTTTATTGAAAATGCAGCATTAAAAATCACCTAATAGCTAGATTTAATAGGTTTCAGTCTAACGATTTATTGGAATACATTATTGACTTTGTTTTTATTTTATTTTTAAATGAGTGATTTTTTTAAAAAGTTGTGCCAAGATTTTTCGCCCAAAAAGACAAGTTATGATGAACGGACTGTACATTTCGTTTCATTATAGTCATTTACGGGATTGTTACTATGTACCTTGTTTTTAGCGAGTTTCCGATATTTCGGCACTGTTGCAAGCACCATGATCACGGAGTAACTGAAGTAATTGCGGGTAGGCTGTTATTGGCAGACATATCGGTCTACCCTCCGACGAAGTCTTTTATTGAGTCTTTTATTGCGTATCGATACCCGTTCTACTGTTCATATTCTCACTGTTCACTTCACTCGAAACCGTTCTCGACACACAACACTTACAGTATCGGATTGCGACACGACACTTTTATTATTATTTCTGTTTTTACACTTACGAATCTCAGGAATCCAGACACTCGATAATTTTAACCCGTCCTCACGATTAAAATTTTAATATATATCGTTACATGCATCCCAAGTGTGAACAAATAGCGAGAAAGTATTCGTATCGCCATGTCAGTTTCTACGGAAACAAAGCAGCGCCCCTAAAAGACGTAAGAACAAACTGGCACTTTCCAAAGAAAGTGACAAATGGCGATACGAATACTTTCTCGCTAGTTATATATTTTTTTGAAGGGAAAACTTCTTTAGCGGCGTTGTACACTTTTTTTGTAATGGGTAAAAACTGTTAACGTCAGGACACGTGGCCTGATTGCGTTAGGGCACTGTGGCCACAATTCCATCGCGTACAAAGAAATTTGGTGACTCATTTCTTTGTCGCACTATCCGTAAATGGAATGCTCTGCCCGCTCACGCGTTCTCTCCCTCTTACAACCTGGGATCCTTTAAAAGAGGCGTGAAGAAGCAACATGTAGGCCGGCAGGGTGAGGATGGCTGGTGTGGCAGGTAGAAATGCTGTATCAGTTATCTTCGCGTCTGGACTTCACCTTCACTTAACACCAGGTGGGGTGGAGTCATTTGTCGGGCCTATCTATGAAAAAAAAGGGCAAGTGACCTACATTGCATTTCCTTTGCCGCTCCGCGACTCGCGCTAACTTTGCCGTCGCCGCGTCGGCGTAAACTTTGATTCGCACTCTAGAATAGTTGTAACGGTGTAGGAGCAGTCGTGCGAAGAGGTGACGCAGAATTGCACCATCGTAGTGTCGCCGCACGGCGTCACCTGCAGGCTGCGCCCGTTGCCGCCCGCCGCCTACGAGCTGCAGTTGACGCACACGGCGCCCTGGACCTTGGGACACTTCATGCGCGAAAGGACCCATGTCCGGAGGCTTTTCAGTCAGTAGCGACACCTTCATTATTATTCATGAAACTCAAACACGTATTCCGAATATACAAACTAGAAACATGTGGATTTAGACGACCTCCGTGGCCGAGTGGTTTGTACGCCGGGTTTCATGGTGTCACCGACTCGAGAGGTCCCGGGTTCGAATCCCGGTAGGGGCAGATGTTTGTGTGATGAATACGAGCATTTGTACTCTAGTCATGGATGTTTAATATGTATTTATATATAAATATACTTATATATGTACTGTATATGTATTCTATCCGTTACCCTAGCATCCCATAACACAAGCCTTACAGTGCTTACTTTGGGGCTAGGCTAATTGGTGTGAGTGTTGGAAATATTTATTTATTATTATTTATTTATTCACATAAAGCAACAGTTTTATAATTATTATTAGTGTAAGAGGAGGTGTTTAGCGCGTTCGGCTGCGATCGTTGAAATAAACAACTTTCGCAGTGGTCGGTCATTGGATGGGTGTTAAAAAATCTTCTATTTCCTTCGTGCTTCGGAAGGCATGTTAAGCCGTTGGTCCCGGCTGCATCTGCAGTGGGCAGTGCAAATTTAGCACCCGCCAATCCGCACTGGGCCCGCGTGGTGAGTCAGGGTCCAATCTCCCTATTCCATCCATGGGGAAGGCCTGTGCCACTGAATTATGAAAGCTTGTTTCGTACACTAAATTAACCAGTAAACATAATATAATTTATTTTTATGTTAGCAAAATTTGTGTGGCATACTTCGCCTTTGCGTAGGAGACGAGGTTATTTGGGTCACTCAGATCTTTTATATGGATAGAATAGGGTGAATGAACCAAACTCACGCACCTGGCCATACCTCCTATATATGTTAACGAAACGAATTTTTTTATATTGAACAAGTTTGGAGCCCGCCTCATGATAAGCGGCACCATATTGCACCTTTTGACGCTTGCTATACCAAAAATATAAATTGATAGTTGTAAATCTTCCTAAAAATTTACAACTCCATAAAAATTTAGTATAGGTATAGTTTGAGTCCCGGGTAAGGACATAGGATACACTTTATTCCAGAAATTGTTCTTTAAGGGGGTGAAAGGGCGGATGTTGCAAGTTTGTATGAAATTTTTTTTTTACGTTGACAAAGTCGCCTCTAGTTTGCTTATAAAATTTTCGGTGAATATGGTTTTTTATAAAGACACTGGCGACCGCCTACGATTTCGCTCGCCTTAACTTTTGTTTTTTTAGAATCCCACGGGAACCTGTCATTTATAGGGGATAAAAAGTATGCTATGACTCAATCCAGATTATTAACTGTATGCGTACTTAATTTCATCCAAATCCATATAGTAGTTTTCGTGTGATTAAAGTTACAAATTTATAAATTTTCAAAATAATGTTCGTAGGATGTAGGTGTCGTTTCCGACGTAATTTCTTTTAACTCAAAACTAAATTTAACACCTTTTTTTACTTTCCTTTTTATTCTGTATAGAGAATGACAAGGATACACCGTTGTCCAGTTTAAGTTTGGGTTTAGAGAATTATGTCAAATCGATACCGTAGCTCATTTCGGTACAGTATTGTCCTATTCTGTGATACAGACGTGACAGCGCCCGCTCCCGTGAAGGTGGCGACTCCTCGGCGGGCCGGGTGGTGGATAGGCGCGGGGGTGCTGGGGGTGCTGTGCGGCTGTGCGGGTGTAGCGCTGCTGGTGCTGCGCATGCGGCGGCACTCACTGCTGCGCAAGCACGTGCTGCGGGACTGGCTGCACAGGTACTGGGGGGCAGGCGCGGGGGGGCTGGGGGTGCTGTGCGGCTGTGCGGGTGTAGCGCTGCTGGTGCTGCGCATGCGGCGGCACTCACTGCTGCGCAAGCACGTGCTGCGGGACTGGCTGCACAGGTACTGGGGGGCAGGCGCGGGGGGGCTGGGGGTGCTGTGCGGCTGTGCGGGTGTAGCGCTGCTGGTGCTGCGCATGCGGCGGCACTCACTGCTGCGCAAGCACGTGCTGCGGGACTGGCTGCACAGGTACTGGGGGGCAGGCGCGGGGGGGCTGGGGGTGCTGTGCGGCTGTGCGGGTGTAGCGCTGCTGGTGCTGCGCATGCGGCGGCACTCACTGCTGCGCAAGCACGTGCTGCGGGACTGGCTGCACAGGTACTGGGGGGCAGGCGCGGGGGGGCTGGGGGTGCTGTGCGGCTGTGCGGGTGTAGCGCTGCTGGTGCTGCGCATGCGGCGGCACTCACTGCTGCGCAAGCACGTGCTGCGGGACTGGCTGCACAGGTACTGGGGGGCAGGCGCGGGGGGGCTGGGGGTGCTGTGCGGCTGTGCGGGTGTAGCGCTGCTGGTGCTGCGCATGCGGCGGCACTCACTGCTGCGCAAGCACGTGCTGCGGGACTGGCTGCACAGGTACTGGGGGGCAGGCGCGGGGGGGCTGGGGGTGCTGTGCGGCTGTGCGGGTGTAGCGCTGCTGGTGCTGCGCATGCGGCGGCACTCACTGCTGCGCAAGCACGTGCTGCGGGACTGGCTGCACAGGTACTGGGGGGCAGGCGCGGGGGGGCTGGGGGTGCTGTGCGGCTGTGCGGGTGTAGCGCTGCTGGTGCTGCGCATGCGGCGGCACTCACTGCTGCGCAAGCACGTGCTGCGGGACTGGCTGCACAGGTACTGGGGGGCAGGCGCGGGGGGGCTGGGGGTGCTGTGCGGCTGTGCGGGTGTAGCGCTGCTGGTGCTGCGCATGCGGCGGCACTCACTGCTGCGCAAGCACGTGCTGCGGGACTGGCTGCACAGGTACTGGGGGGCAGGCGCGGGGGGGCTGGGGGTGCTGTGCGGCTGTGCGGGTGTAGCGCTGCTGGTGCTGCGCATGCGGCGGCACTCACTGCTGCGCAAGCACGTGCTGCGGGACTGGCTGCACAGGTACTGGGGGGCAGGCGCGGGGGGGCTGGGGGTGCTGTGCGGCTGTGCGGGTGTAGCGCTGCTGGTGCTGCGCATGCGGCGGCACTCACTGCTGCGCAAGCACGTGCTGCGGGACTGGCTGCACAGGTACTGGGGGGCAGGCGCGGGGGGGCTGGGGGTGCTGTGCGGCTGTGCGGGTGTAGCGCTGCTGGTGCTGCGCATGCGGCGGCACTCACTGCTGCGCAAGCACGTGCTGCGGGACTGGCTGCACAGGTACTGGGGGGCAGGCGCGGGGGGGCTGGGGGTGCTGTGCGGCTGTGCGGGTGTAGCGCTGCTGGTGCTGCGCATGCGGCGGCACTCACTGCTGCGCAAGCACGTGCTGCGGGACTGGCTGCACAGGTACTGGGGGGCAGGCGCGGGGGGGCTGGGGGTGCTGTGCGGCTGTGCGGGTGTAGCGCTGCTGGTGCTGCGCATGCGGCGGCACTCACTGCTGCGCAAGCACGTGCTGCGGGACTGGCTGCACAGGTACTGGGGGGCAGGCGCGGGGGGGCTGGGGGTGCTGTGCGGCTGTGCGGGTGTAGCGCTGCTGGTGCTGCGCATGCGGCGGCACTCACTGCTGCGCAAGCACGTGCTGCGGGACTGGCTGCACAGGTACTGGGGGGCAGGCGCGGGGGGGCTGGGGGTGCTGTGCGGCTGTGCGGGTGTAGCGCTGCTGGTGCTGCGCATGCGGCGGCACTCACTGCTGCGCAAGCACGTGCTGCGGGACTGGCTGCACAGGTACTGGGGGGCAGGCGCGGGGGGGCTGGGGGTGCTGTGCGGCTGTGCGGGTGTAGCGCTGCTGGTGCTGCGCATGCGGCGGCACTCACTGCTGCGCAAGCACGTGCTGCGGGACTGGCTGCACAGGTACTGGGGGGCAGGCGCGGGGGGGCTGGGGGTGCTGTGCGGCTGTGCGGGTGTAGCGCTGCTGGTGCTGCGCATGCGGCGGCACTCACTGCTGCGCAAGCACGTGCTGCGGGACTGGCTGCACAGGTACTGGGGGGCAGGCGCGGGGGGGCTGGGGGTGCTGTGCGGCTGTGCGGGTGTAGCGCTGCTGGTGCTGCGCATGCGGCGGCACTCACTGCTGCGCAAGCACGTGCTGCGGGACTGGCTGCACAGGTACTGGGGGGCAGGCGCGGGGGGGCTGGGGGTGCTGTGCGGCTGTGCGGGTGTAGCGCTGCTGGTGCTGCGCATGCGGCGGCACTCACTGCTGCGCAAGCACGTGCTGCGGGACTGGCTGCACAGGTACTGGGGGGCAGGCGCGGGGGGGCTGGGGGTGCTGTGCGGCTGTGCGGGTGTAGCGCTGCTGGTGCTGCGCATGCGGCGGCACTCACTGCTGCGCAAGCACGTGCTGCGGGACTGGCTGCACAGGTACTGGGGGGCAGGCGCGGGGGGGCTGGGGGTGCTGTGCGGCTGTGCGGGTGTAGCGCTGCTGGTGCTGCGCATGCGGCGGCACTCACTGCTGCGCAAGCACGTGCTGCGGGACTGGCTGCACAGGTACTGGGGGGCAGGCGCGGGGGGGCTGGGGGTGCTGTGCGGCTGTGCGGGTGTAGCGCTGCTGGTGCTGCGCATGCGGCGGCACTCACTGCTGCGCAAGCACGTGCTGCGGGACTGGCTGCACAGGTACTGGGGGGCAGGCGCGGGGGGGCTGGGGGTGCTGTGCGGCTGTGCGGGTGTAGCGCTGCTGGTGCTGCGCATGCGGCGGCACTCACTGCTGCGCAAGCACGTGCTGCGGGACTGGCTGCACAGGTACTGGGGGGCAGGCGCGGGGGGGCTGGGGGTGCTGTGCGGCTGTGCGGGTGTAGCGCTGCTGGTGCTGCGCATGCGGCGGCACTCACTGCTGCGCAAGCACGTGCTGCGGGACTGGCTGCACAGGTACTGGGGGGCAGGCGCGGGGGGGCTGGGGGTGCTGTGCGGCTGTGCGGGTGTAGCGCTGCTGGTGCTGCGCATGCGGCGGCACTCACTGCTGCGCAAGCACGTGCTGCGGGACTGGCTGCACAGGTACTGGGGGGCAGGCGCGGGGGGGCTGGGGGTGCTGTGCGGCTGTGCGGGTGTAGCGCTGCTGGTGCTGCGCATGCGGCGGCACTCACTGCTGCGCAAGCACGTGCTGCGGGACTGGCTGCACAGGTACTGGGGGGCAGGCGCGGGGGGGCTGGGGGTGCTGTGCGGCTGTGCGGGTGTAGCGCTGCTGGTGCTGCGCATGCGGCGGCACTCACTGCTGCGCAAGCACGTGCTGCGGGACTGGCTGCACAGGTACTGGGGGGCAGGCGCGGGGGGGCTGGGGGTGCTGTGCGGCTGTGCGGGTGTAGCGCTGCTGGTGCTGCGCATGCGGCGGCACTCACTGCTGCGCAAGCACGTGCTGCGGGACTGGCTGCACAGGTACTGGGGGGCAGGCGCGGGGGGGCTGGGGGTGCTGTGCGGCTGTGCGGGTGTAGCGCTGCTGGTGCTGCGCATGCGGCGGCACTCACTGCTGCGCAAGCACGTGCTGCGGGACTGGCTGCACAGGTACTGGGGGGCAGGCGCGGGGGGGCTGGGGGTGCTGTGCGGCTGTGCGGGTGTAGCGCTGCTGGTGCTGCGCATGCGGCGGCACTCACTGCTGCGCAAGCACGTGCTGCGGGACTGGCTGCACAGGTACTGGGGGGCAGGCGCGGGGGGGCTGGGGGTGCTGTGCGGCTGTGCGGGTGTAGCGCTGCTGGTGCTGCGCATGCGGCGGCACTCACTGCTGCGCAAGCACGTGCTGCGGGACTGGCTGCACAGGTACTGGGGGGCAGGCGCGGGGGGGCTGGGGGTGCTGTGCGGCTGTGCGGGTGTAGCGCTGCTGGTGCTGCCTTGGTATCAAACTTATCACAACCATACCAATTAAATCATGTTCGTAACAGTTCACAATTTACATTATAATAATAATATTTTTTTTTCCCACACATACTTATTACAATTTACATCTCATATGTGTTATGTATGTATACACAAAAAGAGAGAGAGAAAGAAAAAACAAATAAAATATCGACTCATGACCCATTTGCCCGACAATTCGCGTAGAAATGTCCAAACAGACAAGTTTTCTTTTATAGGGAATGCGTTTGCACTAAGGACCTTGCGATTACCCAGGAATTTACCTATATTTTCAATGCAGTAGAATGCCTTTGAAATAACATTGAATAGGTAAAAACATAACTAAAATTATCTATAAACAGTATTTAGACTTTACCAAATATTTTTCAATAATTGGATGGTTTAATATTTCATAGCCAAAACATAAATAAAGTTATGCTTACCAACATAACTATTTTATCGCGTCTAACTGGCAAACTCCATAGTAAGTGGACAATAGGGTATTTGACAGTATTAAAAATAAACTGCCAATTGTTAGCATCTGTGTTTAGAATGAATATTGGCAGGTGTTTTTACTATTTTTACAAAAAAAAATTCATCATTTTACTAAAAACTCACGATAAAGATAATAGTTTTCTTGTCTATTGTCACGTGACCCAAAACGCTTGGGATTGGCGGAGCCTAAAATGACGTCACACGCAAGTAAACTTCCGGTTAAAGTGACATTACATTGTATCGTTTGACGTTTTAATAACAGTCGTGTGACGTCACACACTAGTAAGACGCCATATTGTCCAGAGAAACGTTTTCGCGGCAACTTGAAAATGGAGTTCTTGATTTGGTTATTTTTACTGAAATACACAACAGAATGATGAATATCCAGTTTTTACGGACTCCATAAACATTAGTCAATAACGTGAGATCATTTTCTAAAACTTGTCAAATAAAAATCGCGTTACATAATATGATATCGCGGTGCTCATACGGGGGGGGGGGGGGGGGAAGGGGGGGGGGCTGAT